TGGCTTTCGCAATTACAAAAACTTCAAAAAATAAATACTAGATCATAATAAAATAAAATAAAATAACTATACAAAAAAACAAATAAAAAAAAACTACGATCAGATTGAATAAAACTGAAACTATGTAATTAATTTTCTATTGCGACATCCACCCCACAATTGCTGAACACCATGGAATGTGGTCCACAATACAATAATGCCGTCACAGTTTAGTGTATATGCTGACATCAACTACCAACGTACAATGATGACTCTTACTTCGTTTCCCAAGAATCATGAATTATTCATATTTTCATATTCGTTTTTCCCCCCATCAGACTTATTTATATGTAGATACATTGTTAGCATGGAATCTACTTTCAATGGCTGTACTTTGACCTCAATTCATGACAAGCGTCTTCAGCTGCTTGTATTTATGACTGAGCTCTAAAACAAAGTTTTTTTTTTATTCTCCAAGGCACTAACAATCTATAAATCCAACATGGCGGGGTCTCAGTTTTAAACTGGCACACAACTCATCTATTTCCTATCTGAACGAATTCCTCAATATTATTATTATCTTTTTGTTGTGTGCTAATGTTAATGAATATTTTATAATTTACTAGAATAGTTTGGTTTCGTGTGTCGGCCAGATTAAATGTTTAAATTGTGAATCCCTAATCTACGTTTGCTTAGCTGTTCAGGCAGTTCAATATTATCAATGTCTGTTATGTATTTTTTAATTCTGTCATTGTGAATATCTTCTATCCAATGTGATATGAAGATTTGTTTTTAAGTTGATTTGTTATTATCTTTGCTTATTATCGTTTTGAATCAGTGTTTATAATATTTACAGTTTAATCTATTATTGTTGTGTTTTCACTTCAACGAAGCATTCGCTATTTATTTGTTTATCTATCTGTAGTTAATACACGGCTATAATATTTAATTAGTTGCGTTTTATGAATGTGTCCAGCGGAAATCTACCTAATTCTCCACAAATACATATTATTGGCGTATTTTGGAAGCACTTGTGCAAGCATTCAATACCACAATTTATCAAAAAGGGAAAGTATTGTTTTGTGGGGGTAGTTATTTTTATGTTTATTTTCTTTCAGTGACAATAAAACCTTGTAAGCATCTGGTACCAGTGTAGTAGGTAAATGCTTAGACACAATCTGAAAATAGACTTATTTTGGTCTACTTCTTGAATTAAGACTAACCACAGCATGTGCTGAATTATGACTTTACGAATGCTTGGCTCAGATAAGATCTGTCGTCGAAGGAATAAAATCACAAAAAATAGCAGATTGCATATAAATCCTAGCTGTTTATTATTTTTGTCCAAATCGATTTCCATCATGAAACAAGTTTTACTGGTAACCTTTCGACCTATTTCATTCAGATAATCCTTTTGCCAGCTGTGGGATTAACACACCTTCCTGACACATACTGAACATCTGTATAAACATGGCTGCAATGTCCAATAGTTATTATTGATACAATAAAACTACTTTATATTGAATAAATACGAGGGGCGTTCAATAAGAAATGCCCTGACCCACTTCCGGTTGTGTGATCTATATGAAATTGTGCATGTGTAATGATTTACATCTCCATAGCTCTGAACTAATTGCGGTGTTTGAACTGAGTCAGATGTGAAATGGAGCCAGTTGAGTGTCGCGCAGTGATTCGGTGTTTGTATTTGAAAGGACGCACACCAAAGGAGACTATTGATCAAATGAAAGAAACTTATGGTGATGATGCCCCATCATATGACCTTGTAAAACGCTGGCACCGTGAATTCAAACATGGCCTGTGGAAACAGCTCCCAGACCTGGTCGTCCCTGCCATTGATGAGACATCTGTCCGTCAAGTTGAGGCAGCCATTTTGGAAGACCAACGCATTACTGTTCGCCAAATAGCCCAAGAGGTCAAGATCAGTACAGGGTATGTGGAAACTATCATTCATGACCATTTGCATATGCATACAGTGTCTGCCAGATGGATTCCCAGGTTGCTCACACCTTTCCAGAAGCAAGAACGCGTTGAGTGTTCGAGGATGAATTTGGAAATGTGCCAAGAAGATGAGTCAAAGTTTTTCCAAAGACTGATTACACAGGATGAAACTTGGATTCATCACTATGATCCAGAGACCAAAGCTCAGTCAATGCAGTGGAAGCACTTGGACTCACCACCTCCAAAGAAGGCAAGGGAGCAGCCCTCCGCTGGCAAGGTCATATTCACAGTCTTCTGGGACCAGGACGGAGTAGTGATGACATATTTCCTGGGAAAGGGTACCACAATTACAGGAGCCTATTGCGCTTCACTTTTGAAGAAATTAAGAGAAACTATCAAAATCAGCAAAAGTATCCTCCTCCTACAGGACAACGCCCTGGTTCACAACTCGCATGTCGCCAGATCAGAAGCGCGGGCGTGTGGCTATGAAATCCTCCACCATCCCCCTTACTCCTCTGACCTTGAAGCCTCTGACTTTCATCTCTTCCCAGCCATGAAGTTGTTTTTGAAAGGAAAGCGTTTCCCCGATGATGCAGCCTTGATTTCTGAAGTTACGACGTGATTGGAGGACCAACCTGGGGTGTTCTACAAAAGTGGTGTCCAGAGCTGCATCAAACGGTAGGAGAAATGCATAACTCTGGGTGTTTCCTATGTAGAGAAAGACTAATAATGGTGCCAAGTTTCATTAATCTCCTGCTATGGGAAATTGGTCAGGGGCAATACTTATTGAACGTCCCTCGTAGTGTTGATAAAAATAGTTTGCCTAACCGCATTCCTAAGTACACATCTCTTTAAGCCACCTTAGCTAGGATCATAAAATTCAATTAATTGGCCAGTCCTGCACAATAACATGTAGTACTTATTGTCATTTTGTGTAATTGATATAGAGAAGCAGATAAAACGTTCACCCCTTGCAATGGGGTGGTGTCGGTATGCCGGTAAGTCAAACGACTGCCGTGATTACCAAGACCACAACACTGCATAATATTGCGAACACCGTCACTGCATTTCTACATGGATATTTTTGGTTTCTTCATGTTGCTAAATATAGCATGATTTTTTTTGTGCGACCTGGTTTAGAAGAATGTTGGCCTACTATTCTTGGTTGCCATAGTCACTATGACAACAATTTTCTATTTGGTGACAAACACACTACACTGCTCCTGTCAATATCTTGGATTACTTCCTGTTACTAAAAATAGCCTGATTTATTTGTGACCTCCAGATTACTTGGTTGCCATAATCACCATGACAACAACTTGCTACTTGCTGCCACAACATTGTTCCTGTCAATATCTTAAGTTTTTTCCCAGTCACTAAATATAGAACTCACTACTATACAAGAAGCTGACATTAACTTTCCACACGAGAGGAGACATTAATTAGTTTATTTATAAACGAACATGTTCTTGAAAAAATTGTATTTATGAGAATATTTATTTTACGAAAATGAAGAAACATTGCAGTCCGCTAAAGAAACAAGTCATGCATGACACATTCCCAGTTAGTTATCAAATTTAAGATATATAATTTTGTTTATAGTAATATAGTTTGAACATAAACATGTCAGAGATATATTGTAGATTCAGAAGCTGATGCTTGATTATAATGATTTCATAACATTAAAATGTTGTACATTCAGTTATATTGTATCTGATCGTCATATGAGTTCTTGGCCATATTTAGAGATATTGCTGTGAAAAAACAATATGGCCACTGGTTGGCTATTTTAATATATTTATGACATGATGTATAATAAATGTATAAAAATTTAACATAATTAGTTAAAGAATGTCTGAGATATGGTTCTAGAACAGCATTCATTAAAATAGAGTGGTCGCCAGTCAACATCATAATGATGAGCATCAGGGAGCCATAATGTCTAATGTATGTATCAAGTTTATATATATATATATATATATATATATATATATATATATATATATATATATACTATAATTTGAACATGATCAGTCAAAAAAAGGCAGAAATACGGTACTAGAACCGCATTCATTAACACAGAATGGCCGCCGGTCAGCCTTTTAAAATCAGATCTGAAAAACAAAATGATGTGCATCATGAAACAAATTCATGTGCATATGTATAATTTTATGAGGTTATTACGAGGATACCTCAAATTATGCACGAAGACAGTACACCAAGAGGTCGATACGACGGTGCAGTGTCTGAATGCATACTTTGAGGTATCCTCTTAATAATCTTATTATTATACATCTGTTCCTTTCAAGGATACATCATGGGAATGCCGAAATCCAAAGCGTTTAGAACAGATTTAGCAAACTTCTTTGTGTGGAGTCCGGTCAAACCCTTGTGGCAGCCATGTTTGTTTTTATTATTAGAGGACGCTTACACCCTTACTCATTTGCAATTCGCATTTCCTAATATGGTAGGATGAAAATACCCCGTAAAATACCGCAAAATTATGGCACGCTGTAACTTATGGCGTTACGTTGACAGATGTATAATAATATAAATTATGTATGTGTGAAGTTTGAGTGTAATCAGTCCAGGCATGTCAGACATAGGGTCAGACGCATGCACGGACGCACAGGGGTAAATCCATTAGTCCCTTTTTCAGACCGTGTTCGAATGAGGACTAATAAAATTCAACCCTATGACCTTCATACAAACTTCTCGAACTGTCGCCAACTTAGTTCATGTATCTCATTGTTAACTGGGTGTTTTATCTGAAGCGTTTTCTTCTACTATTTCCTCTTAAATTTATACACAAATACAATACAATACTGAAATACAATAAAATAATTTCACACTTTTACTTTCTTTTTGCACTCTCCTTTACAGCTGGAAAACCAATTGTGTCACGTGACCTATTTTGGTCACACGAGTCACGCGAGAAACTTCAAAATTGCCTTGCTAAGTGCTGTGAACTGGACGCAGTGCAGCGTGTGTTGTGATTCCTCTGACGATTATACAGAAGTCACTGTTTGAATCTGTCATAGCACACATGATTCTAGAAATATTTACACCAGAGGAGATGCAGGGTAGGTTTTATGGTTAGTTGAGAGTACAGTAACAGTGTCAAATGACTTATCAACAGAGTCTAAACACAGAAGTAAAAATAAATCAAATTAACAAATGCAAAGATTAAAATGCAACTGAAAAGGGTTTGAAAAATTATTGATTTTTAATTTACCAGAATCTCCAGGTAATTGAAGAACAGTACAAAAATTTGATGGAAAAATATCAAAAAATATTGATTTGTTAAGGAAACAATGCATTCGAAAAATAATGCTCTATACTGTCTGTGGGGGGGGGGGAGTCATTTGGGATCATTTACGGAGGTCGTTATAGTAGCTGTCTCAAAGCAGTGTAATATTTGTGTAATGATTAAAAATCGCTAAACATAGAATACTATTATGGGTCCTCTCACGCATATTTTCTTTATGTGTAATCATCATTTGGTCTATTGCCTGAACGCATCTGCGTGTATTCGTGTAGTTATTAGAGCAGATATCTCGATACACTGACTTTCATATTCATTCGAGTTTTGGCGGATCTTCTGTGCTTGGCTACTTTTTGCCGGCTACAAATGGCATGTCTGTAAAGCCACTGCTATCCTTGCCACGTTTTATAGATTTTTACATTGATGTGTATTCATTAAAGCGGGGGAGTCGTCACCTGCGCATGCGTCAGATGGCCATAGCTTGTCTTTGTTTACAAACAAGCGTCTACCCATATGCCTTTACGTTTTTAGTGTGTGCTGGTATTGTCGCTTGGGACTCAATTCCCTTGCGTGCGCAGGTGACGACCCTCTCGTTTTAAGTTGTACGCTAGTCATGAGTTCGATTTTAGCTACTTTACCGTATTTTAAGACAAGGCACTGTTCATATATGCACAAAATTCATATCCAAAGAGTTCACATTTATATCCTAGTAACTGAAAATAAAATACATGTATATCACAATACGTGCGATTTACAAAGAATTGCCGAAGTCATGCATAGTTCTTAATTTGACATTATATCAATCTCATATTATACAGAATATTAATTACTATATTTAAGTATGTTTGTTGAAATACAGGAGAACAAATAAAACATTAAAATAAAATTTACTATATCATAGTTACTAGTAACCTTTTCATTTTTTCTTCAATTCTCTCGATAGATAATCTGAAAATTTAAATTGAAAAAAAAAAATGAACTTAGTAATATTGATTTTAGACGTGTTTAATATTCAGCTTATTATACATCAATGAATGTTTCAGTGACACAGATAAATCATGTTTGTAAACAGAATCACGACTGGGTACTGCTTACCAATATGTTTTTGGATTTTTTCTATTTTTTTAGCGGTCTGCCTTTCATAGGCAGCCCGACGCCTACGGAAATGTTCAAGGTTTTGTCGGTGTCGACGATTTCTCAACTCCTTCTCTTTTTCCATAAATTGTTTCTGACGACGAATATTCCTTTCTTGAGAAGATCTTACTTCTTTCATAATGTTTTCAATTCGTTTTTTTTCTGTTGCCAACAATTTTTCATGCATTTCAACCTAAAAAATAAAATACAATCCCAAGATTAAAGCCCCACAATGGGTTGAAGTGTTTTATATATAGACGACAAAAATGAAAGGCATGCACGTCCATTAATGATGAATGTTTCTCAGGTGATAATCCATCAATACACTTACCTGATTTGCATACATTCTCTCCATTTCAGCGAGTCTCTCTGTTTGTAACTTTCGTCTTTGCTGAAGATAAACACATATGACAGCTATATATACATATACGCCAAACAAAACCAGTGCAACGACATTAAATATAAATAGTTTATACGAAAAAATACCTTCTCTTCTATTGCACTAAGGTAACCTTTGTATTCCTTTTGTTTTTCTTTTGTGACTGATGGTGGTTGATAACCATGTAAAGATGATAACCAATCGTGATTGCTATAATGAAACTCCATTATACCCTGTTAAGAAAAATTAAAATAACACATAGACGATTTTGACTAGTATAGGTTTTTTGAAAAACATTTATATTTCTAATTTTAATGGAAGTATCACGGTATACTTATTCTTAGTAGTATTTCTACTAGTATTCAAATAATGTATGCTATAGCACATGGACTCACATCCATTAACTCAGTTTCCATTATTTCTCGTAACTTAGGTCCAGCGGCGTTGATTTCATAAAGTCTCGTAAACTCTTCTATGTGGTCATTCACACTATCGAATGATTGTATTTCTAGATATTTCAAAAGGGGTAGTTTATCATTCAAGATCTCTTCAGCTACTAGTTTGCAGACAGACTCTGATTTGGTGTTATTCTGTTCAATGTAGTGGTACATTAACCCACCACTTAGTATATTCCCAGAACTATCGTACACTGCAATACTATTCTGTAAAATACATGTGTAATGTTTAGTATGGATCATTCAATTAGCATGATAAGTGTTTCTCCAATCATACCAAGTCATCGACTAGTTTGAATTAGTCATTACTGAGACCAACTATTATTAACATCACAAATCAAAAACTGGATACATTACGTGAAATGAGAAGATATGGTTAAAACATACTCGGAATTGTTCATAGTACTCATCCACTAACTCTGCAAATGTGGAAGTAACACTTAAACTAAATGCGGATGTTGCTAGGTCCAACATATCACGATGCGTATCTTGAAGCTCAGTCTCACTGCACGGCATTACAGTCCTGGCAAAAGCATCCATTTGTATTTTGTAAACGTCAACAGCATTGTCTACGTCCTCCTTTAATTGGTTTTCAACAATGTGTTGCCAAGAAGAGATGATATGTGGAATTCCTCCAGGGCAGTCAAGTGCCTTTGTGTATTCCTCAATAAGATCTGAAAATTCTGGAAGTATAATAAAAGCACAGTAATAACACACTATACATTATTGTTATTCACATCATAATAATAAATACGAATGTAAATTGAATTATGATATTTGATTTAAGTAAATACACATACGTTTCCCTGAGATGTGTCCTTCTAAGGATAACTTAGGTCTTAACATAAGTCGTATTGTTGTAATAAATTCGTCTACGGCTTGATGGAACTTATCATTAATTAGTACAGTATTTTTCGGATCCTCGATATTTTCCAAGACATCAGGATTATCGGATGGGTAGGGGATTGAAAATGCATCAAATACCGGAAAGAAATTTAAAATCGCTTTGCCTATTTCAGCACGTCTTATACTAGCTCTTGTTGTGTGGTCAGTCGTTTGGCTTAACAGAACCTAAAATTATAGTGAAACAGAACAATTCAATCGTACCATACCAACAGTTTTAGTCATAGCTTGCGCATTAAAACAATTGTCAATGTACTTAATCTGCCAAGCCATTCAGATTTTATACATATGTATATTTACTGACGAACAAGTCCTGCTGTAAACTTTCTGGACATGCGCCTTCTACTGACTGTGGCAAATGTAATACAATAGTTCTTTTTGAAACGCTGTATATTACTGAATACAATTATCGCTTGTAATGTTAACTGTCAAGTCATATGTGATGAGGTGGTATTGGGAGACATAGGTATAAAGTATCTGATTTGTAATCTTTGGGCTGTAATAAGTGAATTATCCAAATTAACGTTTGTGTTTGACAAAGGAAACACATGCAAGTAATAAATCATGGTGTTGCATACTGGCGAGTCACTGATATAGTTTTTGTTCAGAGTGTATTTTGCCATTAATGAGATGCTAAAAGTTTGGGGCCAGGGTTTAACATTTGCTTATGGCTTGGTACATTGCATTGTACCTCTTAGCATAAGAACTACTTCATATCATCACAGAGCATTAATTACACATTTCTTTAATAAGTAGTAATTAAATAATAAATCTCACCTCATTTACGATATATTCTCTAATTGGAATCTCAATCTCTTCCCCATTACGCTGTACAGTTGGTAATAAAATCACATCACGTAATAGCCACATGAATGAAGGGAATATATTTTCTATTTCCAGTGCACTTGAACTGGAGTCACTAATTTGTCTTGATGCTATGTCAACGACACATCTAAAGTACAATCACGTAAATATAATTTGGATTACAATTAGACTGTATTGTATCTTGATAATGTTTAATATATTGTGACATTTAAATATTAAGCATTATGTATTCCACCCACCTAAGTTTGATTAAATCATCTGATTTAGCGATTCCTGTGCCATTGTAAATGACTAGTGATGATAAAAGTACAGTTAGGATAAGTATTGAATTGTCCATTTCTCCCATTGTTTCAATAGAGTCTTGACCTTCCGTGTCTAACAGTATTACCGCAACTTCAGTGCCATCTTCAAGTGTCCTGGTGAAAGGTTCACAATTCATCCAGATTCCTATCGTGTGTACAAGACATCAGTAAATAAGTTCATTTTTGTGTTGCGCGAGGATAACAAGACAAGAAACCAGTTACACTGACTAAAACTCACCTATAGTTTTTGCTTTCATTCTTGATGATATACCAAATATACACTCATCTTTTCGTGGCTCCTGTAACTGACTTATAATATAAGATTTGCCAGTTCGTCGATCACCAACTATGGATACCACACAAACAGGTTTTTCGATTGATCTAATAATCTGTAAAGCCTCTTCACAAACAACCATTTTAGATCTGACCTGAGGTGTGATCTCTTCCAGACATCCTTCTACACTATCCCATCTGTAGTTGTTGGGATAACATAGTGGAATGCATCGCTGATCTTAATGTATAGAAAAACAATAATTACAATACTTCCCATGGCGGACCACTTCAGGAATAATTTATCTTCCTCATATTACTTTTTTTCATTTCTATAGTTTAATCTTGGTGTATTTCTATTTTAATATATTACTTAATATATACTTTAAAGCGGGAGGGTCGTCGCCTGCGCACGCGTGGGAATTGAATCCTAAGCGACGATAACAACACACGCTAAAAACGCAAAGACGCATGGGTAGACGCTTGTTTGTAAACAATAACACGCTATGGCCAACTGATGCATGCGCAGGTGACGACTCCCCCGCTTTAATATATCAATTTGTCTCCATCAATTTAGGTCTTCGACCTTGTTGAAAAAGGAATTCAAAGGCCGTGAACATGAAGTATGTTATTAGAAGTAAAAATACACTGAATGGTGAAAAACGAAACATCATCTTTTCTAAACTACCCCTATTTAACAGAAACATTAATTGTTAACGATGTATTGGGGTCACATTGACAGATTAACAAACATACAGGAATAACGTCAGGAATGCATGATTACAATTGCGTAATTCCCAGATGTTTAAAAAGTGTTCTATTCGGCGAAAGTGTAAAAGTCACAGTTTTAAAAATACAAACCTCTCACTGGAATAAATGATGACGCCATATCTATTAATCGAATCTTCAACACACAATGTTAATAAGTATCTGTACAGAGACAATATAACAACATATTATTGTTTTATTAGACTAAATAGAGTAATCGTCATATACAGTATATACAGTATTAAATATACCTTTCTCACGTGCACCATTGTTGATTTGATGATGTTATATTTTATTATAAATCAGCTAATATTACATATTTGTAGTTAGTTAATCATTAAATAATTCATTTAAATTTAAAAAGCACAACTGGGTGTATTATTTTCGCACTCAAATTTGCTTAAATTATATATTTTATATATGGAACACTGACATGGTTGTTCATGTTAAGAAAATATCACAATGATTGCGTTTTGACTCACAGAGTATCTACATATTGTTTGGCTTACTGGGTTTTAGGTCAAATAAAACCGTTTTCTTCGGATTCTACTACATAAAAGGTATTATGAATTATATTTTGCAAATTTATGATTTAGGCCACACCGACTTAATTTTATGGATGACATCCACGCGCGCATTAGTTTTCGCCTGTTCTCAAAAAAAAAAAAAAAAAAAAAAAAATCTTCGACGACGAGTCTTCACAGATCGGTGTTCTGTCCGGAACTTGCCGACTCATATTGTCGCAAAGCGCCGGCTTGTCGTAAAACTCTTTTTGGACTATCTAAAAACCAATCTCCTTCCCAGCGGCCTTTGCGCTTTACGCAATAGTGCCTCTGCCACAGGCTGCCTTCAATTTTGTGGTCAATCACCTCACTACGCACGGCCATTTTCTTGTACCTGTTACATCTGAAAACGTACTACAAAAAGTGGAAAAAAAACGTATGTGACATCCGAACTATTAGTAATGTCAGACTTCAGTAAAAACGTAAATACGAACCATTTTATCGCGGACTACTAGTATGTTGTGCAAGGTAATGTTACTGTAGTGAAATGGCGCACGTGATACACTAAAACTTGGAAGAAAAAACGTTCTGTTGTCGTATATAGTTGGGAAAGAAACATTAAAGACTAATTTCACTGAAAAGAGTTTCCTAACATTTCCGTTCATCTTGTATTCTGGTGAATATTTCAATACTATTTCTAGCTAGAACGGGTTCGATTTTGCGTGTCTAACAGCAATAGAACACAAAGGTTCTAGTAAGTTTATAAAGTTAGCCATTTATTGTAGAAACTAATGCTTTGGCATGTAGAAAAGGATTGCACTTTTCTAGCGCAAGTCATGTATATTTTAATTTAATTAACAGAACATTTTATTCGGAGTCGGGGTGTGACGAAACGTCTTATTAAAGTGATTAAAGTAACCAAGTGACTTACGCATAACTTTGTTAACCGACAGGGTCTTGTAGTTCGAACATATTCGAATATGCAAATGAGTTCTATGCAAAGCTGCTTTGTGCAGTGGTGATAAGTAACGCGCATCGAACTGTGCGGAGTTCGTCTAAAAACGTGCCTAATTTTGTCGTGAATGATCTTCTGCACATGCGTATTGCGTTGCCGGGATTACGTGAGCATAAAAGTTCAGATGAAAAACTGAGGGATTGTTGTAGACTGGTACGCAATTGACGTCGGCCAGGGAGATATGACGTTTACACACTATACGAGAGATTGGTTAAAGCTAACCCCTACTGTGTAGAGAGGAGCAAGCAAGGACATTTCTGTATCATTGCAATGTTCTGGTAGTTATTGTCATAAAGTAGTGATATGTACATTCCGCCTTGACTTGTACTGAAAATGGTGTTCATGTTGTACCTTGAATGCAGTGTTTTTGACTGAAGGTACTACTTCATCATGACTACATGTACTAGAGCTTGTCTGAAATGGTTATACCTGTGACAGTAATACAGTACGAGATGTGTATATCAACATGTGCCTCCTACAAATAAAGACTTCTTGTTGTTTTTTGATACATTGTGTTCTGTGTTCAATTCGTATAGCAGCTCCGTAGTCCTGTGATTTTATCAGCATTTATTTTTGGCAGGTTTTTTTTCGCCCTCTCGCATTAGTTTTGGGGTCTCCAGAGGATGTCATCCATAAAATTAAATCAGTGTGGCCTTAGCTGTATGTTATCTTCAATTACAACTGGAACATCAAATCGATCATAGTTTTTTAGTTACCTGTAAATGAACCAATGTTAGTTGTATTACAGCAATTCCAGGCACTGATTTGACGCTTACTACAATAGGTTACACACTTTGTTTTCAAATTTACAGAAGTTGTTACAAATAATGAAGACAGCGTGTCTACGATTTGAAGCGCACCGGAAGAAAGCTCCGCCCATAAAAGTGGCGGTACATTAGTTTTGAATTACTCCTCCAATAAACGATCGAGGCTCTCAACTTAGTTTCGTACTTCAATTTGCGTTACATGTTATTTCAGTGAGAGGGGCGCATAAAGTGGTGGCACTGCAAAGAACGTTATTTTACAGAACTAGCCGACCAACTGATCATGACAGACTTATTGATCAAAGTACATTATTCCTACTATGGAAATATCCATATCACGCCGATTTATATAACTGAAAGATCCCTGCAACAAATGTCCTATGAAGACTTCATCCAGTATATCAATAATGAGATTGAATACATAAGTTGAATGGGTGTTATTCGATTATTAGTTCTCGACGAGATGAGATGAGAACCAAAAGATTGATGTGCCACCAAAGAATCGCTTTAAAAAGCTTATCACTGGCAACACACGACCACACGCCTGGGGAGGGTTGCCGCCGCACACAAGTAGTTTTTGTCGAATTTCCCGTCCGTAAATGCGCGGTCGCAATGTTTTATAATATTCGACATAGTCTATAACGTTGTCAGTTTTCTGGAAGGATACCTGCAGGATACTCTCGGTGGTAACAAACCGTTTGACAATATTATAATCTGTCTGCTTTGAAACACCATTTAGATCTCCAATCTCAGCAAATGACAGTCCATGAAAATACAAATCGACAACTCTTGTTCTCACTTCAACTGTTTTTTTTACTTCTTGCTTCTCCATCGTGGTTCTTAAACAACTTGGACAAATGCCGATTTGTAGACACGCAATCAACACGATGACCGACCAAAAGTGAATGAAAGACAGACGCGCCTCAAAGTCTAGGTGTACCTGACTTTGTAGCAAAAATAGAAAATATTGTGGGCAATATCTGTCAATCATTCCTCTGATTTGCAACCGATGTTTATATTTCTAGTTGCAACTTATGTAAATTTGAAACCAAGTGTGTAACCTATTGTAGTAAGTTATTGTAAGGTATGTTCGCTGGTCAGCAAGTTGACAAAAACACTAGTCCCCAAATTAATTTAGAAACGTAGCACAGGGCGACCGATGTGATATTTGGATAACTAAACTAATGCAATGAAGCGTCACACACCACAATGATTGGTGAAGAACAAGACTAATATGATATATGTCAAAGGTCACTAGCATTTATTCAACCTTGCATGCAAATGGCGAAAATGGATTCCTGTACAGGGTGATACTATGGGGCAACCTCAACATACACTTTAGTTTGCAATAATGCACAATAATAATTAACAACAGTCAACAGTAAACAAGAGTTCACTAAGTATCAGAATATAACAATTATAGACAACACGAGTTAACTACTATATGCAATGTCCACGATGTCCTAACAACAGGGCTGTGCTTCGGCGTTGCTAAGGTAATAATGTCACGACGCGTTGTTCAGCAATGCCAAAGTTCACGCGCGGTCACACACACAACGGTCAAGCACTCATAACAAAGTCAGGCATAGCCTCCGGCCTCTAGATCGACTGACCGACTAATGCACACACTGGTCGGCGAATATGGATGAATTGTATTTACTCACGTATTGTAGAGCACAATGTTGATGAAGGGTATATTAACTTAAATAAAGTCTCGACCATGCGTTCGTTGAAATCTTCATAAGTAGATTCACGGAGCGTAGATTGTTCATTCACTTTCTTTACGATAAGAGGTTCACACAGTAATGTCATTCATTGACGATATACACAATATACTAGTATATATAAGAGGAATACACGATATTTGACAACGTACACAGTGCGAGGCATTCACCGTGACGGTAACGTCACTCGTTGACGATAGTCGCACTAAAACTAAGAGGTACTTACGGTAATGTTACTCATCGATAATCTTCGTGATTAAGAGGTACTCACGGCAATGCCATTCATAGATGATTTCTGGGCGAATGCGAACTTCACATGTAAACAATGCCAGTTCAGCAATACTGCCACTTCCGGGTTCGCAGACAAGTAGTCTCACGGAAAATCGTCCGATCCAATTCGGAGTGATGCCGTCTCACATTTTAAATACCCACAACTTCAATTCAGCAACTTTCCAGTGATGAAAGTGCTCTTTTTAGTCAGCGACTTTCAGTTTCTACCACCGTGTCCCACTGTCAGTGAATTCTCCTCTCCCCTCTGGTTTTCTTTTTACCCCTTGTGTCAATCCGCGAGCGCGCGACCAGTTATCCCAAATTGACTAATAACTTGAATGAATCACGCGATAATAAGCAGAATAAACAGATTAATCAGAACAAATAATAGGTCACTCATCAATGTGACAAATAAACACTGGGTATGGTACAATACAATCAGAACTATTTTTTAAGCCGCATCACATGCGCTTCTTCATAACTAAGTGTAGAACTATTTCATAACGCAACAACTTGTACATGTATGTACCATAATAACTCTATTAGGCTGATCAGTCATAAAACAACGTATCCACTATGTTTCGCTAGCATAGAAATTACACATGGTTGCATTATCAACATCTAGCACTACTTCAGCGTCAAATCAGTGCCTGGAATTGCTGTAAATAAACACAAACCCCTATTCTTTACATCGCCTGAATCATTTAAAATTATCAGACATTATTTTATAACTAGGTATGCGACATAAACAATGCATCATAACCCTGTATACATGCTACGAGTCATATTTATATACTTGCATATTACGAATCTATACGCACGAGTTACGATGTACAAATATCACGTCTTTCATGGTACAGTGTGTATTTTATACACAGTAGGGTATGGTTTATTGTAAAAAAAATGACAACAAACGTAGTCCTTGCTAGACGGGGTAATGAAACGCCAATTGACTTACTAGTGAAAACACAAAGTATATTTTTGCTTTGTAAGAGGAATAGTATCATTTGCATAATAGAGTAGAACCAAAATTTTAAATCAACGCGATTGGCGGAAGGCGGAAGATACTATTTAAACTAGAGGAAATATAAGTGTCGGCAAACACATTTGTTTTGTTTACTATCGACTTCAGCATAGTTATAATCACCAGAACTGTATAATAAAAAAAACAATATTACAATATTGTCCGAATTTGTTAAGGTATTTCGCCACTACAAACGACTCTTTGTTAAATACCCGTGAGTAGTCGATGACTCCAGTGATAATATTACGACCCAGTGCATTGAAATCTGACAACAGAGTTGAAAGTTCATACAGCTTGAACGATTAGCCGGTTTGCTGATTGTTTGGCACTGGATCTTTATAAAACATTATGGTGCCTGGTATAGAACACAGACTCAAGGAAAGTGAAAACCGAATTCTGAGGGTCGGCACATCTATACAGCTGCACTGATGTCAGCACTACGAATATGTCACATTGAAAACTTGAAGAAGATTTATATGTGACTGCAAACAATGACTAAATTTAGGTCAACACTGCTCGACAAAAAGTTTGTAGATAGTTACTTAATGATTAACACAGTATGGTTTTAATGTTAGTACATCCAACTATAGTTCATATTGCCTCTTTATATAATACACATCGTCAATAATATATTGTTCAATACGGTCGCTACCAGTTTTAATGTAAGTTTTGTTTTGAAAGTATATAACAATTTGAAGGGCGCCGTCATCAAGATAGTTTTCACTATTTAATCTAATATGCACATCCGAGTCATATATTTCTACTTTTCATTCTAATATTGTGACTCATGTACGTACTTTCCAATATATTACGCATTTAAATGAATGACGTAGACTTTCTATACGTCATATGTAAACAATAACGCACATCTAAATATAGAAAATGTCGTACCCTAGAAATGACCCCCAATAAAGACAAGCGAAGACTCACGCGACTAGCCACACGGAGACAGAATAAATACCAATGTTCTCACACAGTTGTTGCAGTCCCAACTGTTCACCTAGAAAGTAGATGCTATGAAACTGCATATAACCGTTATTTTAATAATCGCTATCGTCATGGATACAATAAAGAACATAGTGCAGCATAGATAACATTGCCCTAGTGAATAACGTTTCATATAGATAAATAGAATGACAGACTACACATGTTACGTTATGTTACGGTCATTTTTAGACTTGTTGTATTGTGATATATTGTCTATAAAGTTCGGTAAAACCTATGTTTCACTTACCTGGAAATATAGGGCAGCCTCTACGCAGAAAGATTGCACAATTTATGCCGATCTGTCGTCACGTGAGGCTTGCGTGCGTGTTGAATTCCAACACACGGGTGTGTGTTATATGTGAAAGCACGCTGCTTGATTACATAGTACCTTACAATGCAATGAACGTGTGCAATTGTGTGTATTTAGCCTAGTACAAGACAAAAACACTTTCGAGAAAGGTCCAACTATTCCCGTTTTTTATATTTATATAGCTGCACTACCCGTAAAAAGTAGTACAGTCTCACATACATTTGCACAAAAGACAGACACACCTTTGACACACTCGTCTGAAGCATTCTGTACTTACGCAGCGCACATTGAGGGAGCCTAAATCAACATGGCAACAAGTAAGTTCAACTATAACTTTCAATGGCTTTATTTAGAATATACATGGTGTAATATAAGTCACATCACACTGATATATCTGTCTGATATGTATATAATGTAATAAGGAGACGAATCGCATTTCGCCTGGACTCAGACTAGTAATACTAGTATCAGTAGTCTGAGGCCTAGATTACACGGAGGACTAAAACTATATGTATTGCGTGAGATTTCACATAATATCAATATGTCTGTGTCAGTGATATTACTATCTTTCATTATATTTACTCGTGTAATCCATAATTTAATATGGATATTAGCAGTAGTATTAACTACGTTTCATTCAAAGCGCTACGTCATTGCACGCTTGCACATATAGCAGTATTCAAGCTGTACGAAAGTGAAAGCGGATTCATAGTAATACTCAGGCAGTACACAGTACATGGAAGTCGGGCGTAGGCGATATACAATCGCAAAGGCCGGGGATTTTGTTTCGTTGGGTGGCCGGGAATGGCGGTGTGCACAATGAGGATGTCGGGTGCAGGTAACAGGGTAACATCGGGTGTAGACGATAAACGATCGTAAACCCCAGTAATTTTGTAATAAGCGGTACAGTGTGGTCGGGAGAGGCGGTGTGCACTATGGAGATGCGGGATGCACAGACTCTGGCGTGTACAAGACATGGCCGCGCGCTTTTTGAAAACGCTCAAATGTAGGACGCTTTCACCCCCGCTTTTCATACTAATAGACGGGGTCAATCTCCTTCCCACAGGTCCTTGCGCTTTAGGCAATAGTACCTCTGCCCCAGACAGCCTTCTATTTTGTGGTCAATCACTTCACTACGCACGGTCATTTTCCTGTAGCTGTTACATCTGAAAATGTGCTACAAAAAGTGGGGAAAAAACGTATGTGACATCCGAATTATTTATTATTGTTAGACTTCAGTAAAAACGTAAATACGAACCATTTAATTGCGGACTATGTTTTTCAAGGTAATGTTATTGCAGTGAAATGGCGCACGTGATACACTAAAACTGTGAAGAAAAAACGTTCTGTTATTGTATATAGTTAGGAATGAAACATTAAAGACTAATTTCACTGAAAAGAGTTTCCTAACATTTCCGTTCATCTTGTATTCTGGTGAATATTTCAATACTATTTCTGGCTTGAGCGGGTTCGATTTTGCGCGTCTAGCAGCCATAGAGAACACACGGGTACTAGTAAGTTTATAAAGTTAGTCATTTATTGTAGAAACGAATGCTTTGGAATGTTGGAAACGATTGTACTTTTCTAACGCTAGTCATGTATATTTGAATCTAATTAACTGAACATTTTATTCGGAGTCGCAGCGTGAAACGTCTTATTAAAGTGATTAAAGTAACCAAATGACTTGCGCATAACTTTGTTAACCGACAGGGTCTTGTAGTTCGAACATATTCGAATATGCAAATGAGTTCTATGCAAAGCTGCTTTGTGCAGTGATGATAAGTAACGCGCATCGAACTGTGTGGAGTTCGAGAGGGGGTATTACGCATTAAAAGTTGACCAATATGTGTTCGCCATATAGAACACGTGACCTGCAATTTTTCATCCAATGCTCGTTACCATTGTTTACGTGTATCATGCTCTGCTTCGCATTATTATGCATGTATGCCTTTTATAAAACGAGGTACACACTATGTTCAATCATTAAAAAACATAATTCACTAATCTGGGCTCAATATCGAATGTTTGCTGTGAAATGCAGAAACTAATAATCGCTGTTGTGCGGTCACTCACGATGCATTGCTGTCACTAGATGCATATCTGCCGTTCTGTGCATATTTGAAATTAGTTCGATGACGAGCGAAATAATCTTACCGGCACGAAAACAACGATATACCCTTGCAATATTGCAGCTACTGATGCGTTGTTGACAACCAACTTCCCGGGTGACTCTGATTTTGAACAATATTTGTACAGCCGGCGATAACTCAAAAAATAGGCTCGATCAAGCACAATTTTTAATATGTTCATGAAAGATTTGATTTATTTCTGTATTCATAAAAAATTCAAAACCATCACATAAAAATTACGTACTATTTTACGCTAAAATAATGATGATGTGGTTATTTGGGACTCGACCGTCAACTACGAACACCAAATAATGTTCGCGAACGAGAAGTGTGTCCGAAAATAGAACACACTTTGTCATACCCCGTCTATATTATTGTTTCGCTAAATATTTTATGGCGGAAACCAAGGAAACAAGAAATGTGCACGCGAGCGTGAAGCCCAAAACGAAATCGTTCCTTTTGGATATTTGCCAAAACGAACAAATGGCCGGTGGTGGCGCTGTTCAATACTTCTTATGCCGCTAATTCTTACGGCTCGAAGGATACGCGTTTGAAATCGAATGTGCAGTTAAATTATCCATGCACATAAACTTATGTGTACTAAACATTCGACACGAATATAACCAGTGAACTGTTGAAAGATATATATATCTTGATAACGTTTGGTGTATGGTTATTTATATGCTAAAATTTATCCACGAACAAGATTAATGAACAATTGAACTTGAATTGAACGTACGCCTGTAGACGCTTGATTTGCACAACACAGTTATACAAATATTCATAATTGGTAAAAATGCACGTTGTGTTGATAAACCTAACAGGGAATAAACCCGTAAATCAGTGTGTTAGCCGGACATACGTGTACAAGGAACAATACACGGTGTTTTGACCTATGACCGAATGTACGTGATATTCACAGTATCATAGGACAAATACTTTTTATCTGATGTATTGTTTATTTATTAACTTAATTTAATACAAATAAAAGTTAAACAATAGATTGGTTCAAAGTGACGACGGAAAGATTGTGACTATCCCATTTTCTCGTTGTGTCAATAATATACGAGAATTCACTATGTTTGCGAAGAAATAACTAATGTTACCCATTCTATTCAAAATCGAAGTGCACTTCCATATCACAAAATGTAGACTGTACCGAAATATGTTGGGACATGTGAGCAATCCTATCTCGAAGGAAACAATGATTGTGACGATTTGCTGTTGGTGATCATTGGGTTTATATTCAAATGTGTGTTGTTGTAGCCCACAGATGCATTCCTCTGTGTTACCCAGACAATTATCAATGGGACAACATAAATGGTGTTCTAATAGAGAATGGTACTACAGGCCAGAGATCAAAGATGGTGGTCTGTGACGAAGCCTTATCAATTCTACAGTCAATTAATCATCCCGTGTGTGTTGTTGCTGTAGTCGGCGATAGACGTACTGGCAAGTCGTACATTCTAAGTCAGTTACAAGAACCCAGAGCAAGTGAATGTGTTTTCGGAATCTCGTCAGCAATGAAAGCAAACACTATAGGTCAGTACGGTTTTAAAAATAATAAGTTACGATAAAAATCATGTATATTAAATCAAGACACTTCCTCAGCATTCTGTATGTTTTCTTTTAGGCATTTGGATGAATTCTAAACCATTCATCAAAACACTTCACGATGGAACACAGGTGGCAATGATTTTGCTAGATACCGAAGGACTCGGATCTATTGAGACTATGGGGGAGTATGATCATCACATTCTCACATTAGTGGTTTTGTTGTCATCTGTGTTGATATACAACGGCAGTGGTCTTGTCAAAGCGGATGACCTTAGAAAGCTAAGGTATTTGGTAACATGTTATTATATCATATTTATCAGCATTATATGTATAACAATAATTGGCACACGAATTGTAAACATGTACAAGGCTCTTCACCTAGCCACTTATGAATTGAATATTCTTCTCGTGTGTCGAGTTTTGTATATTTAACATTTGTTTAATGAATAATTTAGTTTTTTTGTTTGCAGTCCTAAAAACACATTTTTTTTTGCACAAATGAAAAAAGGAAAAGGGGAAAGAAAACCTCACATCATTGTATTTTTGAGTGGGCCAGCCAAGTTTCCACATACAAAAAACACATACTTTCACTAAATCCTTTAAACTTATGGTCATCCACTCATTGTAATTATTGTTGAGCGAGGGCGCTATTCACCAATGAAAAGAAACTTTTAAAGAATTAAACAGATCCCTCGTAATATGACAGGTGTGTTGCCGATCTGGCTACCCGAATACAAGTGCGTACAAATGAGTCAGAAAGTGGGAGCTCTGTCGAATTCTACAAATTCTTCCCAAACTTTCATTGGTTATTACGAGACGTGCTTCTAATTCCAACTATTACAAGAAATGGAGTCGAAGAGGAAGTGGAAATTAAAGATTATATTCTAGAAGAGGTATATGCATTGTGGTATTAATTTTATTATTATCATATGCTTAACTGTACCTTAACTGTCCTCGTTTGAACATTCTGGTTTCCAAACATTGACTTATTTATAGGGCTCTCCAGATACCAAATTTACCTCACTTGTAATGTACTGATGAATATATTTTAACACCTCTAAACACAAAAACGAGATGCATGTATCTATTGGAAAATGTACATGTTGAGCAGGTAATATTTTCTCATCAAAACTTAGATCCTGATTCTTTTTTAGATTTTCAAACGTGAAACAACTACCAGTGCTGAATCTCGCCGCCATGCTGGAATTGGGAATGCTATCCTCAGATTTTTCCCTACATTCAATGCATATTCACTACCACTTCCTTCACTCAATCCACAAGTTGTAAAAAATATAGAAGACCCTAAATTCCAGGATCAAATCAACCCAATTTTTCTGGAGAAGGTCAACGATTTCATTGGTAGTCTTCATGGTTATTTGAAACCAAAAAAAGCTTGGCCTAAAGCAGGACATGTGACCGGGAAACGTAGGTATCATAGCGAGAGGAATATGCTGTTTGTTTGATGGTTATTGCTCTTTCATGTGATTGAATTAAACCGATTATTTGCGCATCTGTAATATTATTCAATATTTTGAAAAGTGATTTTACAATGCTGACCCAAACTGAAAATCTTTTTTTCATAATAATGACTTACAACATATGTAAATAAAACTGAAGACACATACCCTAATTGAAGATCACTGATAACCAAGCTTATAATGTAAGGAAAGACGAAACTCATCAACAAAGATTATGTAGTTAAATATCGCTAAAACCCTTCAATATGGCTGTGCTAGTTAACATTTAACAGCAGCATATTAACAGTAAATAGTGCTGAGATAAAAATCTAAACCCCATAAAATAACGACCCTTACAACATTTTTAGAACCATTGCGTTATTTTTTGCTTCAGAGTTATCTGAATTGGTGAAAGTATATACCGCTATGCTTGCAAAACCTGGCGCTATACCAAATGTGCAATCCGCCTGGGATCAAATCCTAACAGCGCAGCTAGAAGCAAGTTTGAACAAAGCAACCCAGCTCTATGAAACGAATATGGATATATTTGTTTGTGAAAATATACCCTGTGAAGAAGTATTCATCATGGAAAAACATGGCGTCTGGTTTGACCAGGCTTCTAAAATGTTTTATGAAGAAGTAAACACTATAAATGATGCAGATCTTGTGAGCAAATATTACAGGAAATTTCAGGTAGCTTTACAACTATACAAATAATGTTAATATCTGTTGACACATGTATCATTGGGACCAAGGCTTTGAATTCATTTATGTAGTATTATAGACTCCTATATTGCCAATGTCTGCTATTTAGTGTACGTACAACTATATAGAACACTACAAAAGGCATTTCGTGTTATGTCAATATTTACACGTTTCGAATGACAATTCAGTGACAATTTTGTTCAGTGTCACATTAACAAAATTGCAGCAAATAAAGGTGTAGTGTTTGGTTTCCTATACGTTGTTAAATGTAGTGGAAGCGTACACACTGATTTGTATTACTAGTATTTGGACCAAAACATATACCTAAATGGAGCAAGCATCGAGTTTGCGACATTTAAAACAAAATCCCGTCAACGGCATTGGTTTTGAATTACATAAAACAATATTAGAAACATGTAAATGCAAAAAGATATGATATAAAACCTATATAAGGTGAAGTTTTGTTAACTGTTAATGAACATCTAGTTATAATTTGGGGCATGCTTGTGCAAAGGTAGGCGTATTTTTTAAAATATGGACATGTTTATTTTTACGAACGCCTGAACAGGAAGTATTGAGTGCCGTTAGACACGAAGTCCCTCGCTTGAAATGCTTCGCATTTCCCATCAAGCACCTTCGGCGTTTGGATGTCTATGATCCACAATTACACTAGGCCCGATGACTATCGACCTTTTAACTATTATATTATATTATAATTCACAGAACCATGTAGCTCAATATGGTGGGCATCAGAATTTGGTAGTTGGCGGACTGCTCTTCAAATATGTAGATGAAAACAAGCGTAAGTCTGAAATATTGTGTAAAGAGATTGTTGCTCAGCTTAAAACTGAAAATCTACCCCAATTGACACCGGACAGATATAACTCTTTTCAGCAAGTTGAAGAGGCTATTGCAGTCATTGCTGAATTATATGAAACAAATGCTAGGGGTCCAATGGCGACGCAGATAAAGAAGGAGTTATTTGAGGTACGCATTATGAAATATAATTTATAAAAGTTAATAATAACCACTTGAATTATATGTTAGAAAGTGTATAGTGTGATATTTAGACGTTATAAGCAGTAGAAAATAGAAAACCGCTACATCACAATTGCTAAGAAATGCGAATTGCTCTTGCAATATAATTGCTCTTTTAATAGTACGAATTTCGTATAGTTAATTGTCGTATAGTATATTTATATATAACTCTATTTTTCATGAAATACATCACTACTATAAATTCACCGATATTATGCTTACCTTAATTTTTTTAACTTTATTTTCAGGCCTGTGAAGAGTTTTATTTTGATAACATTAGGTGGTTAAGACAATTGCCAGGTTTTAAAACACCGGAAATGACCCAGAATAGAAAACGGCAGTATGAGGCATTTCAGATTGCATTAGTTGAAAAGGTAAACGTGAATAACTGAATGAATGAATGAATGAATGAAGAACTGACCAACTAACCCAACTAAAGCACAGTGAAATTGGAATCAATCATTACCTCTTCATTCACTCACTCACTTATTTTGTATATTTACTGGAATTCAAAATAGGAACGTGCACTAGAAACAGAAAAAATAATATTACAGAAGCAAGAAGAAATAGAGAAAGCTGTAAGTTGAAACCATATATTGCTTGTTGTGCAGTGAATATTTTGATTTGTCTACCGATATACTCCTGTAATTATTGTTCCGGTGATTATAATAAATAAATTCACCCTATAACTATTGCATATTTTTGAATGTTAATATATTGCATGTCATAAATCAATGGATTTTCACCAACCATTTAACATAATATATTTAATAACTCTTTGAAAATAATTAACAGAGACAGTTGTACGAGTCTGCAAAAGACAGGGAGATTGGACATTTACACAACGAACTGAGAAATATGAAAACCGACCTTGATGAGCAGGCCGAAAACTTTAAAAAGGCTAAAGAGGAAAACGAAAGACAGGAAATCGCACTTCGTGAAAGAGAACTAAGACGAGAAGAAGAAGCCCTGCGTAGAACAGAGGAAGAAAGCAGTAACAAGTTGGATGCAATATTAAAGAATCAAAGTTCGTAAATGTTACTTCCTATTTATCATATTTAGTGTTTTAAGAAAAACGTATATCATACGTATTTTGTATTTTATCTTTCAGTTGACTTGCAAAATGAGGTGTTGCAGTTGAAACGAGGTACGTATTTCACAGACTGAATATATTGTGGAATTTGTATAATTTTTTAAATACATGATATGTACATCATATTTCTTTTTGTTTTTCTTCAGATAATGCGAGGATGGAAGAACAACACATGAAAAAAATAGGTGTGTAATGTGACCATATATGCAAATAACCATTATATTTTCTCCATTTCGAAAGTGTGATAAATGTGTTTAAAAGCTCATTTTTGTTTCATATACTAAAAAACAATACAAGATTATTGTTTTAATCTTATTTATTTCAGAAAGTCTTTCAGTCAGTCGTGCTGAGAAAGAAGAAATGGGTAAATGAGCTTTAGTGTTAATACTTTGCTACTTTTGGTTTGAATTGATTACACTACGTTGCTTACTCAGTATTTGTATTACTTTGTGTTATGTTTTTATATTGCAGAGGCGAGATACAAAAGATCTAGTGGATTTGAATACTTCGCTCACGCTGTCGCAGGTGGGGTAGTCCGTGTTGTTAATACAGTAAAGGAAAAGTGCCTTATCAGTTAAAGGGTTACAAATATTTCTGGTACACATACATTTCTAATACATACATACAAATGACTAATTTTAAATCATTTAATTAAGAAATTCGTGATCGTAAAAGACATTAAGTAACTTTACATTACAATAGAAATGTAGGAATAACCAATGTTCATTTCAAATGCCCAGGTATAATCCGTGAAGGAAAGCAGTGTTCACTACATAGAAATAATTATAGTACTTTTTTCTGGCACACCATCATTCGTCAGACAACGATATAATTCATTCCATGTCCCTGCTTCTTTCACAGTACACATATTCGTGTATTAAATCAAGTTTTATGAAAACTATTATTAAACATGTTCTTGCCACCTGCCACGGTACGTGGAAGAAACATGACACATACTTCGAGGTTACATATGTTTCTTTAAATGAATACAATTCGATTTTAAATTAATATTTAAATGTTAAAAATTATATCGTTTCTGTTCCATTTGTATTTAAAAAAAAAGATTAAATACAATTAATCACAAATGTAATCTGATAAGATGCTGTGGTTTTCTTCGCAAATCAATTAGTCAAGAGACTAACCGATTTGAAAAAAAGCATTATCCCTAATACTTTGTTAAATTGCGACTATCAATCGTCGTTTTTATGACCTAAATCATAAAGTATTATCGACGTGTGACGCCATAGCTTCACTTTTCTTTGTATCAATTGATTTTAAATCTATGTTTGTCGGTGTTTTTGTTTTATGTGCCTAATAAACGTTGTTTATACTTTACTGGTCGTATCTGCTTCAATACTGTCATCAAACTCGTTTTGAATTCCCTTTCATTGAACACCTCATCCCGTAATTACAATCCATATTCGTCTTTTTGCTTCGATTGTCATTACAATTTCAATGTCCTTCATGCTTGAAAGCCTATTGTTATTGTAACGTTTATTATTATTCCGCCCCACTTTTCGAACAAACCATTCTACGTGTTCCATCTCTACAAAGTGACTTTTTGAGATTTTTGATTATTCACGTTGTTCGACCGCCAACTTGGATTTGATAAAATCCACTTAATTACACCATTTTTTGAGGGTCTAAGATTTTCCAATTTGTTTGGTGTAGCATCTAATGAGTACGTGAAGAAAGATTAGCAAATAACTTTAGCGGTCATGTTATATTGTCCGCCATTTGTGATTTTCGAAAAACATTCTTGCATATTCTAGTTCTCAACTTCTTTTTCAATTGGTTAGATGTTTGACACGCATTTCCCTTCACAATGACTTTTTCAGATTTTCCAGTAACCCTGTAGTTTGGTCGCCATCTTGGATTATATGATTTACAGAAATTGGTCAATACTTCTGTTCGTCCAATCGGCGTGCAATTTGGCTGATGTCATCTACTCCACAAGTATATTATTGTTTTGCATGCAATTATCAAAATTGATATTGAAGAATTCCAAAACAGTCATTTTATTGGCCTGTAAACACACTACCTAAATCTCATCTTTCTTTTCACAAAACCCAGCCGTTCTTGGGAAGAAGATTTTTGAAAGTTTTATTACATTTTTGTTCGTATTGTACAACGCATAATAGTAAATGGTGAGGGCTGCACTGTTTACTGAATGGACAATACATAATATATTAAATTAGGTATTTACGAATAAAAATTTGTGTTTTTAATTTAACAAATAATAGCATGTGCAAGAGATATTATAAATACAACAGCTGACCATATTATGCCATTTTACCTTATTATATTATTGAAAAGCCACATGGTAAAACTATGCGTCTTGAAGCATGCAAACCCAAATAAGTATTCAGTAAAGAGAAATAAAACGTATATGTAAACCACGGAGCCATATCACTTTAATGAGGATTGAACTTTGTTTTATGGAAAGATGTTAATACTACTTTTCTAAAACAAGATAATACTCGTTATAATCAGATAATATAAGATAGTATAAGTAAATGGAAACAAATTAAAAATTACCTTATTATAACGAAGTAGTATCTCGTGATAATGAGTTAGTTTATTATTTGTCGGGAGTGAAGAAAGTACAGGTACGCTCCTTGGTATTTCTATAACAATCCTACATCTGGTTTGAATTGAGTAAAAAGCTCGCAATGCCCTCGTAACAGTAGATCAAATTATTAAATATTATTTACAAATCTGCATATTGAAACAAAATGTAATTAAATGTGTCTAGAATATTCCAATGACCTCAGTGACTAATATTATTTAAAATAGTTGATCGATAAATATCGACTAAATTATTGAAAGTTGGCCACCAAATTTTGTCAATATTGTTAGAAAAGTAAATAATACCCCAGTTTCGTACAGCGTGGAATGGCTAAATACAAAACCCACTGCCCTAAAATGTTTATCGGGATTGTTTGAAGGTTGTCACCAACAACTGTTGTCACCAAGGTCTAGTTAAAAAAATATACTCTGTACATTATTATATGACTCTTTCATTTTAAATATCATTGATATGGATACATGTATTTACACGTGTAAAGTTTTCGTAAAACCACTGCCAAGGTATGCTTTTGTCGTCACATATCGTATGAATAACCAACATGTGGTTATATGAATAAGCTAATTCACAGGATTGGCTAAAAGATTTGGAATTATTAGATTAGTAGAATTAGACGAAACAAAATGTTTCAACTAAACAAATTCGCCACATTTTAAACAATATTCTGTCACCGAACATTCAATGACGTCTACAAAAACAATCAAAATCTGTTATCACTCGGGATTTGCATGAACATGTGATAAAAGTAGATATCACGGCAACGTATAGATGTGTTGCAATCATTACAGACCAGTGAACTTCTGAACTTTAAATTTGTTACGGCGTATCAAGTGGTTATTTGAACATGGTATAGATGTCAGGTCTAATTTTGAATGACTCAATTGCAGAAGTTCCGTTCACATTTCTATCAAGTAAATTAATTATAACCATGGTAATCTGAACTTGATGTTACCAAGTAGGTTAATTTCCTACAGCTTTTACATAACTCTAGATGAAAGATATTTTAAAGGCAACCATACAACACCGGAATGTGGTACCATATCGATGTGAAGCCTCTCAAGAAGTAAATATTTGGCTGTTGATTGAAAAACATCTAATTATGCGACATCCAATCGATCATTTTGGTCAGTATAGCGTACACAAATATTGAGACAGTATTTGGTATATCATTATTGGACACAATTGTAGTCCAATTAACTTATCTAATCGAACATTATCTTCAGCAAACATGTTTTATCATTTGTTTTATGTAACTGGTGCAATATTCGATCTTGTCGTGAATATATCAAAACGACCGCATTATATACTAAAGTCTAAAACAATTCAGTTCATAATTATAATCATATAAGACTATACGGACACGTACAAAGTATTTACCATTTTCGATCTCGTAATACATAATCTGTCGACATCATATGCCTCTATAAATACACAACGGGAAAAATGTTCGAATTTAAAAAAGACACATTGTTTATCATGTCCCATACTCTTTACTCTCTTTCTCTTATCAGCTATCATTATCATTTGATTGCTCACGGCTATTGAAATCATCTACAGGCAGGGGTGATAGTATCTTGGCTTCTTGGCAGCTTCACGTGCACCCACACTACAACACACACTCGGTAAACAACAAGCAATTATGGTGCAATATGATATATTATTCGATATATTAGGGTCTCATATACCACAATATTTGCTAGGATATGGACAAAAATATATCATACACAGAAAAACCTGCCGACTGTCAATATAACACACAACTGACGTTAAATTATGTACTCAAGGTACAACAGGCCAGACATTAACCATATGTTTATAATGAATAACAAATCATCTTTGACCAGGCGAGAGAATATCAAGGTGGCCGTTAGGAAATGTTTAATTATCTCAAATTAACAGCACCGATTATAGAGGGCGCACTTGTTATGCGTTGAGGGCGTATGCTCAAGAAACTGATCAGATGCAATGATCAATGCCCATGTAAGACTGGCATGAACTGTGAACAATTGCAACTCCTCAAAATAATTGTGTACATTTGAGGAAAGTGTTATAGCGCCCTCAAATGGACGAATTATCAGTTACTTTGTTTATTGGTCCCAGGTGCAATTCTGTTAATTTAAATCAGTTCAGCCAGCCAGGCATACTATTCGTAGCAGAACTAAAACTCATCGTCAATGTAATTTATTGGACTTTACAGTTTACCAAGATCTGATAAAGTCAGTATTAACAACGTGTGCTGCATAAATTATATTAGTCTGCACACAATTACGGATTACATATAACAGAACTATTACATGAAATATTCAATTAGGGAAAATGTTATTCATGTCAAAAATAAAGTTGCAGACTAAAAGTATAGTTAGTAATTTAGGGTGAATAAAAGGTTGGTCTAGTTTCACCTGAAATTAGAAGTATTAAATTACTTTTCCAAAATAGTAATATATGGCCAGAAATTAAACAGGATAAGCTAATAATTATTTCCTTAGTACAGAGATATAGTAGTATGGTCAAAAAGCAAGATTACAGGCAGTCAACCATCTTTGATCCGATTTTGTGAAACTAATTGTCATCGACATGTATCATAACATATTTAATTCGAAAAGGAAAAAAAGTCACAATACATTTTGAAAAAAAAGATGGCTGTCAGTTGGTCATTTTGGATTCGAACACTAAACAAATCATCAAGGTATCTCAACATAAACAATGTTTGTATCAAAAAACAAAAAACTACAAATCCTGTCAAAGAAACAACATTTTTTTAAAGAAGGATACCAGTC